TATAAATATGGTCTTCAATGCTCTCACCTAACATTACCAACAACACTTAATACAAGACAAAAACAAACAAATGCTTAAGAGAATTAAAAGCTTAGATTTCTCACTGATTTTCTTTTCCTTCTCTGGTTCTGAGTTCATATACTGTCGGGGCTTGAGTTTGGCTTCTTAACGGCTAAAAAAAAAACTTTGCTTGGTTTGCTGCTCTGTAGAAGATCAGTGTACCCTAACCCTCCCTTTTCTTTCTGTTATGTGTGTTTATTTAGTGATTTTGATGTATTCTTTGCTGATTTCTCTTCGTTCATGATGCATGTTAGTAATTTCTGGTTTTCCTGTGTATTGTTTGTCATTCTTGTTAATTAATTCTTATCCTTATAATAACCCATGATTGCTTTAGTATTTCTAATTAATCTGTGACTTAGTTGGATAACATTTGCTATAATGAAATGATAAAATTCTGTTGAACTCTTGTTATTAGCCAAAAGAATTTTGATGTTCTTCCATGATTGTTCTGTTAACCATGCCATCATGCTAACTTGCCTAAACTGTGATCTTTGACCTATATTATATCTTGCTAGGAACTTATGTTTTCTACTTCTGCATTACAATAATTATGGGGTTAATGATGTTATGCTACTTGTTGATCCATGCCATACTTAACCTGTATACTTTGATAATATTTGAACCATGTTTGTTGTGTACACTTAAGGATCCAATATAAGTCTGTTAGTTTAGTCTGAACTCACTAGTTTAGTTGCCAGGCTACTTGCTTTTCAAACATGTCCTGTAATCTTGTGATCCTTGAAAACATCACTATGTGATAAGTTTGAATGTCCTCTGTTTGTCCTTGTGTTTATGTATCTGCCTAGTTACACTTATGAACTTTCTTATCCGAAGGACTCATGTCTAAGCCACTATACGCTTATTGTTTCATAGAAGAATAAGTTGAACCTTGCCAGTTTTAACAACTTAACAATGAAGAATCTGAGGAGAAAAGCTACTGTTGGGACTTGTAGGCTCAAACAATTTCTTAATACCTGCTTGTCCAGATAAAATGAATGATATTCTATATTATTTGATGTCCTCAGTTTGTGTAGGTTTAGTTATGAACTTGGATGTTTGATTAGGAATTTAATAAACTAGTAGTCCTACTACTAAGTCTGAATTATACCAAGATTGACCTTCTTGCCCACCTGCATACCTCTGTTGGTGTTGTTGTTCTTTAAGGAGGCCTGAACAAGGTTATTAGTCCATTTACTTAGTAGAGTGAGGACTTGACCATATGTGTAAACTTCTGATAGTTCAGAATACAGCCTAAATAGTTGTTAAAGTATTGTGAGCTCGATTAAGGATTCCTGTAAGTGTAAACCTACCAGTATAACTAATAAAATCTGTATGCATGTCATGACACAAATACCTAACCAATCGTGATGGCGTCTATCGTTGAACTAGGCAAGCCGACATTCTCAATATGCTTTCAATATATAACAGAAGTGAGCTAAAGTAATTAAACTAACTGAAGGTTTACATAATAACGAGGTAAAAACCCAAAACACAAGTGCGGAATGATATCCCGACATCGGGGTGTCACTAAGTCATGAGCATCTAGCAACCAATCTAGAAACAGAGTCTACTACAGTCTGTGCCAAATGCCAATACAAGAGAGAAAAGATAATAAGAAAGGAGAAACAAGGACTGTGGACGCCGGCAGCTACCTTGTAAGTCTCCGATAATCAGCTCGCGCACGAACTCAGCGACCGCCAGAACCGTACATACCTGGATCTGCACATGAAGTGCAGGGTGTAGCATGAGTACAACCAACTCAACAAGTAATAAAATTAAATAAGGAATTGAGAAGCAGTAAAATACAGATCATTTCAAAAGTTTTCACTAAAGAGTGAACATGCTTTCAAATCCGGTGATATAAGTTAAATCAGTCGACCTCAAGTAAAACAGATATAAATCTTCCAGAAATTACACAACAACAATAGATAACAACTAAGTACAATAATAAATAAAAGCAAGTACAGCCTCTCAAGGCAACAATCACTCAACTCACCTCAACAGCTCATACTCTCATCTCTCAGCCCTCAATACACTCTCTCAATAGGTACCTGCGCTCACTGGAGGTGTACAGACTCCGGAGGGGCTCCTTCAGTCCAAGCGCTATATTGCTGCGGTGCGCAGCCCGATCTAATATTGTTGCGTCGTGCAACCCGATCCAATAATATATATATATATATATATATATATATATATATAGCTCGAAGGCTTGTTGCGGCGTGCAACCCAATCCATATACCTCCTAACTTTTAGCTTAGCACTCAGGCCCTATCTGAGTCACTAACCTCTCCAGCCTCTGGAACTCACAGAATATCATAATAATTAGCCCAAACAGAGAATACAACAAGTATCAACAAGACAACAATTAGCATTCAATTCAACAAGTATACGATCACTGTGGGTCCCAACAATGATATCATATGGCCTAAGCATGGTTTCTAACATGAAAGGCAGTCAATTGCTCAAAGACAAGGAAAAACAAGTAGTAACAATGGTTATTCAACTTTACAGTCTCACGGGACGGACCACAATCCCTCACGGTGCACGCTTACACGCCCATGATCTAGCATGTGCGTCACCTCCAAATATTCACATCATACCAATTCTCGGGGCTTCATACCCTTAAAACCAGATTTAATACTGTAACTTACCTTAACCACGCAAGAATCTTGCTCCGAAATGCCTTTGCCTCTCGAATCGGCCTCCAAATGCCCTGAATCTAGCCATAACAGTACGAGATAATCAATATTGGCTAAAAGGATCAATTTCACAAGAAAACTACTAAAATATAGTCCAAAATCCGAAATCGGCTCAACCCGCCCCCCCGGGCCCACGTATCGAAACCCAATGAATGTCACAAAACCCGAAAGCCCATTCACTCACGAGTCTAACTGTACCAAATTTATCAAAATCGAACCTCAATTGCCTCTCCAAAACCCCAAAATTCATTCTCCAATTCCCAAGCCCTAATCTCCCAAATCTCACCTCAAACACTTACCAGCTAGGTGTAAGATCAGTGGGAAAATACCATTATTGAAGATAAATAGGCACAAGGAACTTACCTCAGTGATTACTCCGATATTTCTCTCAAATCCCCAAAATCCGAGCTAAAAAATGATAAAAATGGTAAAAACTCTCGAAGTGTTCTATTTATAGGTTCGTCCCATACTTCTTGCACCTGCGACTCCATTTCCGCATCTGCGGGCAAAGCCCCTCTTCTGCGAAAAAATCCCTACACACTGCCTCCGCTCCTACAATCAAGTGACTGCATCTGCGCTCTTCGCGGGTGCGGGAACTACATCGCACCTGCGGTCCAAACTCGCACCTGCACCCCTAAATCTGCTTCTGCGACCATTTGCAGGTGAGGGAATTCCATTGCAACTGCGTCCTCTGCCCAGATCCTCCTTAGCCGCATCTGCGGCTCCTCCTTTGCTTCTGCTGGCTCGCACCTGCGGTTCCCACTTTGCAGGTGTGGTTACACCAGTAGCAGCAGCTTCAGCTGCAATTCTTCAACTCCCATCAAGCCGTTAACCACCCGAAATCACCTCGAGGCCTCCAGGACCTCACCCAATCATACCAACAAGTAATATAACCCCATGCAAACTTAGTCGAACCTTCAAATAACTCAAGACAATATCAATACACCAATTACACCCGGATTCAAGCCTAAAGAACTTCTAAACTTTTAAATTCCACAAACGACGCCGAAACCTATCAAACCACGTCCGATTGATCTCAAATTTTACACACAAGTCAAAAATGATACCACGAACCTATTCCAATTTCCGAAAATCTAATCCGACCCCGATATTAAAATTTCCACTGCCGGCCAAAATCGCCAAAATTCCAACTTTTGCCAATTCATGTCTTATTCCACTAGGGATTTTCAAATCACATTCCGAACGCGCTTCTAAGTCCAAAATCACCTAACAGAGCTAACAGAACCATAAAAATTCAAATCCGAGGTCGTTTTTCCACAAGTCAATATCCGGTCGACTTTTCCAACTTAAGCTTCCAACTAAGAGACTAGGTGTCTCAATTCACTTCAAAACCACTCTGAACCCGAACCAACCAACTCGGTAAGACATTATACATCTGTAAAGCACAAAAAAACAAAAATGGGGGAAACAAGGCTATAACTCTCGATACGACCGGCCGTGTCGTTACAATGTTTGTCTTTCCTACCCTTAGGATCATTCAACTCAGCATTTGTTCTACCTTGACATAGTTACTGTTGGTTGCTCTGAAGATTTTCCTATTTTGCACTTATGATTAATCTCTTTAAATGCTCTAACACATGTTGTAAATGAATGGCGAGCACTCCTGGATACTGTTAGTAACTATAGTGATGACTTTTGTATTCTGAGTTTTGATTCTAAGGATGATGATATAATTCCTTCAGTGTTTATGTCTCTACATTTTTGTTTTGGTTTCTGCAGCATCTGAACTTCTTATGTACTTGAACTATTGTGTCTATTCCTGGTCTCATATTGATTGTTAAGTGAATACTTCATTTGTATCTAAACCTTTGAGGAAGAGTGAGTGTGAGTGGCCAAGGGTATTTGGGTTGGGATCTAGTTTGTGGTTAAGGTGTCCTTCCTTGACACAAGACTGCTCGGGGTCCTTGAGACCCTTGTGAACTCTGAAGTGCTAGAGATTCCAAGGGTGCTTTATCCACGAATAAGGTCTTATACTAAGCTCTTGATAATTGACTCTCACTAATCTCTTCAGGATTAATACAAATAAAAAATTTGTCTTCACTTTAATTATGTCTAGTTGTTACAATCCTATTCTGTTAGGCCTTGTGTTAGTTTTATTTCACTCTTAATCGTATGTCACAGTCTTATTCGATTTGGGCCTCATATGGATTTCACTAATGGAATTCATTTTCATCTTTGTATGATTGAACTTGGGCCTGCTGAGCCCATCTGGAATTCAAGCCTATTATCAGATCTTGAGCCGCAACATTTCTGTCACGTCTACTGTTCGTGCGTGTGACCTTGGGCCTGTTTGAGCATTAGACCCAAAATCATCCAGAGTCCAGTTCTTTACTCTTATTCCTTTTGAATTCATTGCGATACTATTTGATATGTGTATATATGTTCTTGAATGACTAACATTTATTATTGTATAACTTTAAATACCTTTGATTGTACAGGAAACATAGACAAACTAAAAGACTGTAGGTAAAAATAAAAAGGAATGGCTGTCTCTTGTATCAGTTAAATGACTTCAACTTATCTAATTATTTCTATTATCTAGTCTTCACTTTCATACTAACCGTTTCTCATGAATCTTCGAAGTTCAAAATAGATTTGAAAAGGCAAAAACCCTCTTTCTTTAAAGGCTAGAATTGGGCAAATAATCTCAAAGTCGAGTTTTCTACGAACCAAATGAACATAGTTGTAACAAAATAATTTCAAACGGTTTTCTTCTAAACTTAGATGCAAAGATTTGAAACTGGTTTCAAGGTATGCCTCACCCCTTTTTTAAAACAATCCTTAATGTGTTAAAGTTATGCAAATGGTCATTTTTGCTCTAAAAGGGAAGGCATTTCAAACTTAGCCACTATTTACAAAGTTTACAAATATAACATTATGGGAGTACTTTCTAAAATTCTTCCACCTATATAGATATAAACCTTTAGACTTTATGAAACCTATATCTTCTTTCAAAGCATATATACTATTTTCCTTCAAATAATAAGTTTTAAACAAGATATAGAGTAAGCTATAAAAAACTAACTAAATAGAACATAGACATCTAATTTTCTAAACTTAGTCTAAGTCCTATGGAGCTACCTTAGGTAAATTCTAGGGGGTGCCTAACATCTTCCCTTTAGAAGAACAAAAACCCTTAACCCAAGTCTTACTGGTTAGCAGACTAATAAGATAATAATAACTAAAACATGTACTCTAGTATACCTTTAAATATTAGGTGGCGACTCTCTTTTGTCATTAACAGGGAAACCACTAGTTGAATCTTGTTTTGACTCGTGCAAAGTGCAACACATGCTGAGTACATTATATGGATCAACGTAGAAGACGAGTTGGTGAGGCCCAGTAAAGAGGCATTAACCGGATTGGAGGACTCAGCAGCAGCTCTGCAGATATACTACGAGATCCTTCCTCACTATCTCGTCACTACTACCATGCATCGACAGGTAGTTCCGGGATTGGTCGACCACATGCTGCCACCGCCGGATGATGACAACCAGGTAGTTGAATACATACAGATCGAGTCTGAGACAGAACCAGAGGAGGATCCAGAGGAGGGACCAGAGTAAAAACAATTATGAGGATGAGGAGGAGGTTGAACAGGACCCTGAGAAAGATCCGGAAGAAGAAAGGTTGGGAGGAGACTCCGGGGACGATTAATAAGTTGCCGGTTGATTTCTTTCTTGTACTTTTCATTCCCTAAGGGCGAATCTATAAGCCCATGCAATCTTTTGTAAACCTTTGAGAATCATATTACGTCCATTAACAACTGTCCCCATTTTTTATCAAGTGATGAAGCCTTGTTGTAAACCATAAACCCTATCAATGAAAATTAAAGTTTGCTCTGGATCCGTATATGTCAAAATCTGATTGTTTGTCAAATGCTTGCGATATAGGCCTACCTCCAGCAAAGAGAGGTCCTTACGTACCTTAGGAAATACGCTTGTATGGATATGTGAACTAAATCTTCTATTTGATTATATCTATGCAATCCCTGAGACTGACTTCTACTTTTTTTTTTTTTACTTTCTCGCTTTATCGCTTTATTTATCCCAAAAATAGAAGTTGATTTATGTTGATATATAAATTGGCCGAGCCACCATACAATCTGCGGTTTAAGGGAAGATGACTACAACAGACAACCCGACCAAAAATGCTCTAGTGGTAGCCGACAACCCAGGGGGATCGGAGGGAAAGGATGATACCCGAAATGATGAACATGTTGCCCGAATGGAACAAGGGATGGAGTCATTGAGAGAAGACGTACAACAAATCCAGGAGTTGGCACACCTGGCCGTGACGATGCTTCCACAACCACCCTGCTTCCCCTCACTAGATTCATTCCCCGGCCGTTTTCCTTCATCAGCCCGAAAAATAACTAATACCCCGACTACTATCACAATAAACCCCGCCATAACTCAAGTCATACCTCTAGTAACCCCCGCAAATCCACCAAACCCTCCCATACATATTTTCTATGTTCCCAACTATGTCCAAGCACCACAAAATCCACCTGCCACCACCAATTTGGTTCACACCCCTCCTCGTGACAATGTCACTTTCACCAACAACCGCATGCAATATATACATGCGGCACATACTGCCACATATGAGCGATACGTTCCACCCATATATGCCGCTTCTAAACCCACCTTTACCGAGCTTATCATGGGCACAATGCCCTATCAGATAGACCAATATGCTGAAATAGAGAGAGAAGCAAAATGCAAGGAATATGCATAAGTGTTGGAACAACTACGAATATTAAGGAAATAGATGAAGAAACTCCAAGTTGCTCAAGGGAGCGAGAGCTTGGATTATGAGGACCTATGCATACACCCTCATGTTGAAATGCCTGCAGGGTACTAGCCTCCAAAGTTTGACATTTTTGATGGAACAAGCGATCCTTACGCTCACTTGAAGGCGTACTGTGACAAGTTGGTTGGAGTGGGGAGAAATGAAAAGTTAAGAATGAAATTGTTTATAAGAAGTTTGACTGGGGAAGCACTTACTTGGTACACCAGACAAGATCCCAATAATTGGAGGGAATGGCAGGACATGGCTGAAGATTTTATGAATCGCTTCAGATTTAACACTAAGATCACCTTGGACAGATTCACTTTATAAAAGAAGCCCTCTGAATAATTTCAAGAATACACTCGCCACTGGAGATCAGAAGCTACTAGGGAACAACCCCCTTTGGATGACAACGAGTTGACTAAGTATTTCATCCATTCTCAATAAGGGATCTATTTCAAAAAGATCATAGGAATGATAGGTCAGAAATTCCCTGAGCTGGTCAAAATGGGAGATTTCTTGGATGAAGGTATCAAGTCATGAAAGATAAAGTCAATGGCTGTGCTATAAGCTGCTAGCAAGGCTATACAATCCGGTTCCATCGATAGTGGGAAGAAGAAAGAAGAAGTGATGACGATCGTCCCCTACTATCATCAAGTCCTCACTCACACACTAGATCAATCCACTTATACCCCAGTATATAATGCCAAACCATACTACAATTCTCAACCCTACTACAATGTGCCCTGAGCCAATATACATCCAAACCCACCACGACGATACGCTCCCGTTCAAACCACTACCCACCAAAATAGACCTGCCTATGCACCCATGCCACGCCCAAACTTTGATGAAAGGAACCCCAGAAACTTCACCCCAATTGCTGAGCCTTTAGCTCAATGGTTCAACAAATTGAGAAGAGCCAAACTAATATACCCGGTGGTGGGAAGAATCCCTGACCAACACTCTAAGTATTTCGATGCAAGCAAGCGATGTGCCTATCATTCACGTAATTCCGGGCATGACACCGAGGATTGTTATAGATTGAAGAATGAGATCGAAATACTGATTAAGAGTGGAGCTATCCAATGCACCCCAGCCCCACCAAATGTAATCCATAACCTAGTACCAAACCATAGAAACCAAGGAGCCAACATGATCACACTGGATGGGGACTATAACTTGAAAGGGACAATCAATATTATAGGGAATGCTGAAGATACAAGGACACCCCGTCGGGCAACTCCATTGATCACTATGTAGCTAAAACCTCTCGTGATGGTTTAGATATACCAAAAATGGTCTGTCACAACCGTTATAAATGAGGGGAGTTAAGAATATAAAATAGTTCCATTGACTTATCAGTCGAAGGGAAAGGCAAAATGAGGGACACTGCAGCCGCTCATGGGATGACTAGATCGGGAAGGTGCTACGCTCTAGAAGAAGTGAACCGAGAAAATCCGAATTGGGAGCAGAATCAGAGGAGAAACATAACTGACGCGGAGGCAGCAGAGTTTTGGAGGAGGATGCCGATTAAAGAATATTCCATAGAAGAATATTTAAGGAAGACCCCTTCCCACAAATCGATTATGGATTTGTTGATGAGCTCCGACAGACACAAGGATGCTCTGGTAAAGGTGCTAAGCGGAGTAAGTGTGCCGAGAAATACCACCAGTGAGGCCATAGCAGAAACCATTGGGAAGATGGTGGAGGCAAACAAGATTTCCTTTCGGAGGTATGAACTTCCCCTAGAGGGAATGGATCACAACAAGGCTCTCCAACAAGGATCTGCACATCACTGTCAAGTATGGAGACAAGGTCGTATCTCATGTACTTTTCGATGGGGGATCTGGAGTAGACATTTTCCCATTATCTACTCTACGGGAATTAGGCATTCATTTGAGGGAAGTGAAAGAGAGCCATGTGAGAGTAAGGGATTTTGATGGGTCACATAAGGATGTCATCGGAGAGATCTACCTAGCCTTGCAGATTGGACCAGTTGAGTTCTCGATATTATTACAAGTGATGGATATCTCATCCTCATATAATCTACTACTAGGAAGACCCTGGATACACATGGCAGGGGCGGTTCCTTCCGCTCTCTATCAGTGTATGAAATTCGAGTGGGATTGCCAGGAATTGTGATACATGGAGAATGGAGCCGATCAACTTACTTGGAGCATTGTGGTTCCTTTTATAGAAGGATTGGACGGGGTCTCCTTCCATGCAGTCGAGATCATGTAAGTGACAAAAATAGAAAAGGATCACAGTATACAGTCACTATATAGGCAAATAATGGCAATGCAAGAAATGATGAAGTATGGATACATACCAGTATTTGTGCTGGGTGCCCGATTAGTTGGGATAACTGAGCCAATCCAACCGAAGGGTAAGAAAGGTATCGTCAGCTTAGGATACCAACCTATAACTGGAAGAACCTATAATGGTAACCTTGGGAAAAAGGTTTTCATACCAGAGTATGTTCTGGGCCCAGGCTCACTACCAGAAGATGATATCATCGACGATACGGGAAGATTATTCATGGCCATGATTGATGAATGTTGCAGCAAAGATGATATCAAGACACCGACCATTCAGGATGTCGAACCAGGAGAGAGCTTGCAGAACTAAACCGCCAGTCCATCTCTGGTTCGTCGGGAGTCTTGGTATTGTGGAATTGTAGTAATTTTGAAAATTGCATGGTCAATTGAGGCATGAACCATGCTTGTACGTTTTTATTAAA